TAGGGAAATTACACATTGCAACCTGCAGAATATATCAGAGAGTAGTATGAGCTTCTGGCACTGCAACATAAGAAACAATAAATGAAAACCACTGTGAAGGTACAAAGACAAATTATCATAAGTCAAACATGACAAAACGAAAAAAAAATTGTAGCAGCAAAGATTAACTAAGGTTTGTGAAGTCCATAATTTTCAATCAACTACTTCCACATCCACTAAAAATATCATAGTTCTGCCCCTGCTAAATACATAGTCGTCCAACAGAGAGGAGGAGGATAATTTGAAAGGGTCCATAAAACATAAAACTTTCACACTACTCAAGATGCTTGATACATTGGATATCAGTATTCCTTCTGAACCTATACCTACTTATTATAAAGAAACATGGAAAGACTTGAAAAGAGCAGCCAAGGGAGCAAACAACTAGTAAAGGAGCCATCTTTGGAAGACCCATGGTTAAATATGGTTACACAGACATGGGATGGAATTGATGGAAGAAGAATCTGTTGCTTAATTTCAGGTGACCAATGCCCACTATAGAGGGTTTAAAAAACACAGCCAGGGAACTGAAATACTTTTTATGCTTGACAAGAAAGTAAAATAAGATATCAAACAAAGAGAGAAAAACATCTGCAAAGAACGAACTCAAGATACCACTGAATGCTGTGGAATTTTCTGAAGCCGAAGAGTAACCTCAGTTATTACTCCCAGAGTTCCCTCACTCCCAATAAGCAAGCGAGTTAAATCATACCTGACGAGAATTTCATGTTGTAGTGCATGTTAAATATAATCAAGCTGGCAGATGTATAAACAATATGCCAAATGTACGACTAATAATCATATGTATCAAAATTTAAGAGAATTTCTTTTTCCGATTGCAAATATATGAGTTGTGGGAATATATTATATTCAATGAAAGCGCTGTTAAAAGACACAGTAAAAAATGAACGGTGAACACTAAACAGTTCAAGGTCAATGAACATGAAGAAGCATATCTGGATCATGAAAATTCACTAGAGTTCCAAAGTAATGAATATCAAAAAGTAAATGGGCTTAAAGATTCCAGAACCCAAATATTGTGGTCCTCCAACTTTGAAGCTAAAGCAAAAAAAAATGATGTTGTACAAAAAATTCTTTTCAACCTTTTTTGTGACAGAAAAAGTCCATTTCAAAAGCACCTACTACATGGCCAGCTCAAAAAGTGAATACAAGAGTGTATCAGGAGAGGAAAGAACAATGCACACTTCCTCTCAGCAAAAACAAATTTGACGTAAGCTATTTTTTCTATTCAGTGATGTAAAAAACTATCTTATTTTTTATACATGGTCATGTAAAGATCTCTAGACCGGAAGCATTTTTTTCTATAAATTTCCTTTTAGTGTTTGTTATTTCAAAGAATGAAATCTCTATTCATGAACAAAGAAACAAGTTCATGATTACAGAGCAAAGACATACCCAGCAGCACTCTTTCGAGCACGTGAAGCTGTCTTCACAACATCTCCATTTGGAAGAACCACCTGATATTACCATAACATAAGAAATGCAAAATTGTATACTCGCATGGACAAAGGGGCAGACGGACAAACCTTAAGGCTTATTACATTGTCGCGCATAGTTCCATACCTACATGCTAGAGGTCAAGCCATCATACTCAACGAGATACAAGTATCCCCGCAATGTTGAAAGAGGTGAGCAACCAACTCAAATGAACATCAATGTAGCAGAGAAACTACCTTACAGCTAAGGAACCAGAGCAACGTGTAGCGCACATGCCTCCAATGGTTGCACCAGGTCCTGCACCATACTCTTTATCAACTAGCTGAGCATAACTCAGGAAAGTCAAAGTTGACGTTGGGATGCTTTCAACATTTAATTGAGCAAAACATAAAAGATGTCAAATTAAACAAAAACTGCATATAACAGAGCTTTTAGGATAACAATTTCCTCTAAATATGTAAGAAACCCATGATATAGTTCCAATCTGACAGAAGGTTATCACACTTTAGGCTGACCTGGATCAAGAGGAAAGAACAGACCATATGGTTCCAGATATTCATTAAGCTCCATCCAACCAATGCCAGGCTCTACAATAACATCCATATCCTCAATATGCAGCGCTTTCACCCTCTATAGTATGAAAGATCATTTTCACAAGCGCAAGAGGCCGCACAAATTCCAAAAAAAATATCAGTATTATGCTGTAAGTTTGAAATGTACAAATGACAAAGAGGAAATAAAAAATGATTAATTAGAAGCCATCCAATAATAAAGAGAGAAAAGAATGAATGTAACTTGAGATGCAAATAGCAAATATTATAGAAGATTTAAGATACAACCACTAAGAGCTGACAAAGGTAAAGGACACGCCCTAAAATAAGAGTTTTAGTGGAGCACATCTACAGCACTTCAGGATGACATAGAAAGAATAAGAATAGCATCCTGCAGTTTTAATTCTCTAGTAATATGCACACAAAATTATTAAAATTTCCCTTTTGTTTCCCTGCTCATCGATACTTGAATATTTCAAAAAGTTACAGAAAGAACATCACTTTGATCTATTCGATAGTAGCTTTAAGCATGGTTTGCAAGCCAATGGGAATACCAAAGCAGATGAACTGTAGTTGTTTTTTATTATTTTGTCTACAAACACAAGCTAAGGAAGTCCCCGAGTTTTGTGATTTATTCCTTGGTATGCACGGCTTTGTTTATATAATAAGATTTCAAAAGTTTTGAAATGTAAATCAATATCTGATGAAGACATGCAAGATTATAAGTACATACTTTCATTAGAGACATGTCAATGCATACACCCCCATTGGGAGCCAAGGTGTGACCCTCAATTGATGTTGCTCCACCGTAAGGTACAATAGGAACCTGTTTAAAAGGGCTGGCTGGATTATAATGCTAGCTCATGAAAATAACATATTTTCAGGCCAAAAAACAAGGGAAATAAGATAATATTATCAACATCTGAATGATCGATTCCACAGGTATTTGTATACAAAGACATAAGAGAACACAAAGATAGTGGCACAGTGCTAGAAATACATCACAGTACTTTATAGGTTTAGATTAGAAGAGAAAAGAATTAGAGAATATAATCTTCAAAAAAATATAAAGGATAAGGACCTTATATTTATCGCAGGCTTTGACAATCATGGAAACATCCTCCTCTGACCTGTAAAATATTTGGAAGAATGATGATTGAAGCATTTCTTTGCCTCATAATTATTATGAAGCATAAATATTAATAACACACAATTCAGATAAGGAAATTAACAGAGGTTCAACTCGTAAAACCCTGCGGCCCGTATCAATCCAGATGAACACATATATCAGCAAACAGTATTATCAGAAACCTGATGTCACAACCAAGAATCTTCTTACCTGGGGAAAACAACAACATCGGGAATGTTAACCGCCTTGTGAAAGCTGTTCTGTGGCTTCCCATGGAAGTACCTCTCATCGTAGTCAGTTGTCAAGTTATCCTTTTAACGCACCAAAAGAGGGAGAAAAACAGATATGCCCTTTATTCCATGACAAAAACCAGAGGCTAAAAATTTTCCGTTCAGACAATGAAGCACTTGAACCTAGTAATATATGCCAATTACATATAAGCACCAAAATGTAACGATCCAAAGCAGTTAAACTTTGAAATCTTGAAACAAATATGAAGTTGTGAACTAAAACTCCAGAGACTATAGAGCTACGTTTCGCCTGCCGATGAAAAGTTCCGAGTAAAAAGGGCAAACAATTCAAATCGGCAGAAGTGGCACCTGAAGGATAGCCTTTAGCTCAGCGATAAGCTCCTGAGAAACCTCCTTGAGATCACCTTTGACTACAAATTCAGTACTGTCTTTTCCTCCAACAGTCATACCTCTGCCCAAAGACGGAATCGAATAATCAAGCTAATTTCGAAAGTCCTCCAATTCACAAGTCTTCAAATTTCGAAACGAAAAAGGAGAGAATACGAACCTCGAATTAGAACCTGAGGCCGATGATTCGCAGAGGGATGGTTGCGTCTGGCTCTGAAACGCGATAGATGCGGCAGAGACGGCAATCGCCACCGGGAGAAGAGAGCTCGACCACGGCAGCGGGACCGTCCGGCGCCCATTTCCCGGCGAAACAACGGTCACCTTGCCGGCAGCCGTCTTCGGAGGCGCGTGGAGATCGCGAGGAGCGCGAAGGGTGGAGAAGGCGACGACGGAGGAGGAACGAGCGCGGCGGAGCCAGGCGGAAAAGGCCATGAAACGGCGGCGGCGGAGCGGAGAGCGAGACTGGTGTTTGATTGGCCGATGTGTCTTACGAAGAGCTTATCACCGCATTAGATTTCGACGTGGAGCTCACCGAATTGCGAGCATTCTGAACTTAGGGTACATTGTCACGCATAGGATTCTTTCATCTCCGTACACGTGGATTCTTCGTGATAAACATTTAGTATTTTCCGAAAAAGAAAAGATCAAGACGAAATATGATTTTTTTTTTAACTCCATAATAATAAAAAAAAAATGTTCAACCCGAGATGAAAAAATGGAAAAAATATAGTAAAAAAAGCGAGACAAAAAACGGTGTTTTAAAAAAATCACTATTGTTTTAAAAATAAAATATAAAATCAACGCGCCAGGTAGGGGTCGAACCTACGACCTTCTGCTTAGGAAACAGACGCTCTATCCACTGAGCTACAGGCGCTCGTTGTTACATGATATTTTTTATTAAATATTAAATAACATCATTTTCCTTTTTAAAATTTAAGTTAAACCATATATAAATACCTAAATTTTTATAAAAATCTCAAATAAATAAATACCTGAATTATAAAATTTTCATAGAAATACCTAAACTTTTCTAAAATCCTATATAAATATCTATATTTCTGAAAAACTCCCAAATAAACCCAAAATCTGTTAATGACATCACTTATTTTTATTTTAAAAATATTTAAAATTTGTATTTAATTGAAATTTTTAAAAAAAATCTAGGTATTTATATAGGATATTTAAAAATTCAGGTATTTATATAGAAGTTTTATAGTTAAGGTATTTATGTGGGATTTTCATAAAAGTTTAAGTATTTATATGTTATTTTTTCAAAAATTTAATGATGTGTAGAGATGTAATCTTTCTATAATTCGAGTATACCGAAGTTTGAAAATGAAAAAAAGTGTTGTATTAGTCAACTGTTTTGGAAGATGTAATGCTTACAGCATCATGTTTATACTGATTGAAAAGGGGGATTGGAAACTTAGATTTGTAAAACTATTTGCTATCAAGTAGTCCCCCATCTTTCAAAACGATAAATACGACTCGTAAGACTTGATTTTTTTTTTTGATGAAAAACTCGTAAGACTTGATATTAATGACGTATATGTCTTTTTTTTTCCTATTTTACAAAAAAAAAATATTTTTATATGAAAAGTTGTCTAGTTATTTGTATATCGCATTTTGGTAACGTGATTCTCTCGTTGTTTGTATTTAATCTTTGTTATCCATTTTATCTTTAGTGACCACACGAAAATTGTGAATTGTAATTGATTTACGGTATTAATTTGGAATATTTTAAAATTTGAATATCAACTAGACAAATTTGAAATTGAGATGCTTGTGTGATATAAAAATTTGATGCAGAGATTTTTTTCAATTCTAAAAATAAAAATTTAAGTTGCAAACAAAATTTATTGGGGTGCTAATAATATTTTCACTAAATTTTATAAGTTTATAAGAAAAACTTTGAAGTTTAAAAAACAAAGTTGGTGAGGGCATGTGTATCATGTTTTATGAATTATGAAATGTCCCTATATGAAACCATTTTCGGCCAAAAAAAAGGAGAAAAAAAAGTAAATTTAAAGTTTTTTCTTACGTTAATTTATTGGTCGTATCAAAATTAAAAATATTTGAAATGGGATTTGAATTATGCAAGTGCAGTAAGAGTCGATAAATATTAAACAGACAATAATCCGCAATATTCTAGAAAGATAATATGTTTTTGGAAAAATAATAAATCATATTAAAGCCCAACCTCTGTTTTAGCCCAAGATGAGATGGGTTATATATATGTACCTATATGGGCTTGGAAATTTTGTTTCACTTTTTTTTTTGCTTATTGGGCTTTCAGAAACCGACATAGGCACCGACCCGATTTCGCTGCCTAAAGATCCGTTGCCGTGGATTTAGGACAAAATAAAATTCGACAACCCTAATTTCCATCGGTGTTTCGTTTCCCTTGGCACAGAGGGAGATCTTCGTCGGTGTCTGAAGAATCATCGGATTTCCCTTTCCTGTTAGAAATCGAGGTTTTTTTCGTGTGAAAAGTCGACACGCTGGTGATATTTTTGTGTCTGGCACCGTCGTTGATTTCATCGGACAGATCGAGTTCTTGAGGTTCATTCTCTTTCTGTGTTTCTCTCTCATCTCTCTAGAACAAGTAAGTTATAGCTTGTATTTTTAACTCAGCATCGCATTAATACAGGTTTTCTGGGTTCTTTGCTCTGTAAATCGATTATCTTCCTGCGAATATTCCCTGCTGTTCCGTTGTTGGTTCGATTTGATCTTTGCTTTTTTAACTTTGGTCGTGTTTGGTTCGAATTGCTGCCGTTTGGGTTTCAAAGTTAAGGTATTTGTAGGTCATGTTTTGTGGTGAATTCTTCTGAATGGAATTGGATTAGATTGGAGGCTATGAGGCAAAATCATTGATGTGTGCAATTGAGAAAACTCATTAGGCTTGTTGATTGAGTCGTGAATTTCTTTTTGTTAGAGGGTATTTTAAGCTATGGAACCTATGGCGGTTGTTTTTTCTTCCGGCGATGCTGAGGGATATTTGTAGATCGCGTCTAGTTATGGATTATTGGGGGCTAGGAGAAGAAACCATGCCTGTATATAATTGAGGTTACTGATTGGGCCTGTTGATTGTGTTTTGTGCCAGAGTTTCTGCTATAATGGGAAAGAAAAAGTCGGACGAGAGCGCTGTGACTGTGAAGACGAAGCCGAGTGGAAAAGATTCTGCTAAGGATGCGAAAAAGGATAAATTATCAGTCTCTGCCATGCTTGCAAGCATGGATCAGAAACCTGATAAGCCCAAGAAAGGTTCATCATCATCGTCCAAGGCAAAATCTGGTCCTAAAGTTTCATCGTACACCGATGGCATTGACCTTCCTCCCTCAGATGAAGAAGACGAGGGATATGTTTCCAATGAGGAACAAAAACAAAAGGATGCGAGAAGAAAGCAGAAGAGCGAGCAGAAGCAACTCGATATTTCGATGACTGATAAGGAGCAGAAGAAGCGAGAAATGAAGGAAAGATTAACTCTCCAGGCCGCAGAGCTGGCAAAGAAGGAGGCATTGAAGGATGATCATGATGCCTTCACGGTTGTTATTGGAAGTAGAACTTCAGTGCTTGAAGGGGAAGACACGGCAGATGCAAATGTTAAAGATATAACCATCGAAAACTTTTCTGTCTCGGCCCGTGGGAAAGAGCTTCTGAAGAATGCTTCCGTTAAGATATCACATGGGAAGAGATACGGTTTGGTTGGTCCAAATGGGATGGGGAAATCTACTCTGTTAAAGCTCTTAGCTTGGAGGAAGATCCCAGTTCCAAAGAACATTGATGTGCTTCTTGTTGAGCAAGAGGTGGTTGGCGATGATAAAAGTGCTCTAGAAGCAGTTGTTTCTGCAAATGAAGAGCTGGTTAAGTTACGTCAAGAGGCTGCAGCTCTTCAGAATGCATCTGCAGTAGCTGATGGAGAAGAAGGCGATGATGGGGACGATACCGGAGAGAAGCTCGTTGAATTGTATGAGAGACTGCAGATATTGGGGTCAGATGCTGCGGAAGCCCAGGCATCAAAGATTCTGGCTGGGTTGGGTTTCACAAAGGAGATGCAAGTGCGTCCGACTAAGTCTTTTAGTGGTGGGTGGAGAATGAGAATTTCGTTGGCTAGAGCTCTCTTTGTCCAACCTACTCTGTTGTTGTTGGATGAACCGACTAACCACCTCGACCTGAGGGCTGTTCTCTGGTTAGAGGAGTATTTGTGCCGTTGGAAGAAAACCCTGGTCGTCGTTTCACATGATCGGGACTTTCTCAACACGGTCTGCAGTGATATCATACATCTGCATGACCAGAAACTACAGTTTTACCGCGGTAACTTCGATGATTTTGAGAGCGGATATGAACAGCGTCGCAAGGAGATGAACAAGAAGTTTGAGATTTACGAGAAACAGGTTAAAGCAGCTAAGAAGTCTGGAAGTAGAGTCCAGCAGGAAAAGGTGAAGGACCGAGCCAAGTTCGCTGCAGCCAAAGAAGCTTCTAGAAACAAGGCAAAGGGCAAGGTTGACGAGGATGAGACACCAGCAGAGGCTCCAAAGAAGTGGAGGGATTATAGCGTTGAATTTCACTTCCCAGAACCTACCGAACTGACTCCCCCACTTCTGCAGCTAATTGAAGTTAGCTTCAGCTACCCGAACAGGCCAGACTTCAGGCTCTCGAACGTTGATGTAGGCATCGATATGGGGACAAGGGTTGCGATTGTCGGGCCTAACGGGGCTGGAAAGTCGACTTTGCTGAATCTTCTCGCAGGAGATTTGGTTCCGACCGAAGGTGAAGCGAGAAGAAGTCAGAAGCTGAGGATTGGTAGGTACTCACAGCACTTTGTTGATCTTCTCACGATGGGAGAAACACCCGTTCAGTATCTTCTCCGCCTTCATCCTGACCAAGAGGGGCTTAGCAAGCAAGAGGCCGTTCGTGCAAAGCTCGGGAAGTTCGGGCTGCCGAGCCACAACCATCTAACCCCAATCGCCAAATTGTCGGGAGGACAGAAGGCTAGGGTTGTGTTCACCTCCATCTCGATGTCGAAGCCGCACATTCTGCTTCTTGACGAGCCCACGAACCACTTAGACATGCAGAGTATCGATGCCTTGGCAGACGCACTGGACGAGTTCACGGGAGGAGTTGTGTTGGTCAGTCACGACTCGAGGCTCATATCCCGAGTCTGCGAGGACGAGGAGAAGAGTCAGATCTGGGTGGTGGAAGATGGGACGGTGAAGTTCTTCCCAGGCACATTCGAAGAGTACAAAGAAGACCTCCAGAGAGAAATCAGAGCAGAGGTTGACGAGTGATTGAGTATCGCCTTCTCCGCTTGCTTTCGAGGTGCTTTTTCTTTCACCATTGCCAAGTTCCAAAGTTTTCAGAGCAATCTTCACCATATACATCGGCCTTCCTCATATCAAGTAAAACCATATCACTTTTTTTTGCTGAAAATAAAGACATGTTCCATTGTTTTTTTTTCGTGTCTGTCTATGTTGAGAAACAAGCTTGTTAGTGTCTTTGAGTGGTTAGCTCGATCGTTTGGTGTTTGAAGCCATAGTGTTAAATTTGCATAGATTGCAATAGCATCAACAGGATTGTTGTGAGGGGAAAAAAAGCCCTTGTGGAGTGGAGCCGCTCTCGCCCCCATTTTCTTCAGACAAACAAAAAGCAAAACAAAAAAACAACCTTTTAACGTAAAAAAATCTGATTTATTATTTAGAATTTTTCATTTTTTATCCAAAAATAATTATAGAAATCGACAAAATTTCTACTATTTTAAAAATAATTTTGCACTATAGATATATATCTATATAAAATCTATGTAAAGAAGATTCTTATCATTTTTATCATAATTTGTATATAAAAAAGTTTATTTTTTATTGTAGCAACATTATGAGATTCTCAAAAAAATTTATTATTGTTACTGCCAGCATTAATAAATATGATTTTTGCATTCCTTTTTGGTAATTTTTAGATGTAAAATCTTAAAAAAAAAAACTAATTTTGAAATATACAACCCCTTAGTTTCATAGGAATCGTGTCCGAATCTTTGAACTCTTTTTCCTTTGGTCGAAGCCTTCGGAAAGTTTTGTTCCTAATAAAAAATCTCTGAGAAGATTTGCATGCAAATAAAAAGGTATAAAAATTAAATGATATTTCGATTTATATTAAATGACAGAATCTAGATTGCGGATTTTATGGTAAAACGGTTATTATTATGATCCAACCCGGCGAAACGACGCCATTTAATGTCTAACAAATGTAAAGTGAATTAGAGCAGTTTTGTTGGGAAGGAAATCTAAAATTGATTATGAATTTATTCTAAATAATATGACATATTTGTCATTATTCATTGTTGCACTACCAAGTTTGTTTCTCAACATATATTTTATATATAAAATTATCAAAATGATTATATATATATATGTGTGTGTGTAAAGTGCAATTTTATTTAATATTACGGGTATTTTGTTGTTTTGAATATTTTATATAATTAACATTTAATGGAAAATGAAAATAATGTAATGAAAAAAATCAGAATTTTCCTTGAAAATCTAATAAAAAATAGTTTTTAGCTTTTTGTTATTTTTTTTACAAAATCACTTTGAAAACATGTAGTTTTTCCCCCACATTAATTTCTTGCCTCTCTTGTCAAAGAAATATAAAGTAGCACTATAATCTTGTGGATCCCATGTAAAGAACCATTCTTTTTAATTTAAATAATGTTTTTTTTTTTAAATTTAAATACATGTTATAGATTAAAACTTATGAAACTACGAAATCACATGCAAAAATTCCACTTTTAATGATTGTAGGATACGAGAGTTAAACCGTATGCTATTAAAATTCCAATTTATTTCCGAATTAAATAGCAAATAATTACAGTCGTGCGATCCAATTCAAATGAAAACATTTAATTTTATTTAGAAATCAACATCGAATTGAAATCTTAATAGACAGATAAAAACCTAATAAAAGACATATTCACCTAAATATTAAAATATTTTATTAAAAATACAATTTTTTTATTAGAAGTTAGAGTCACTTTGAAATTCTATCGTTTCTATGGGGATATTTACAAACAATAATATGATTTATCGGATAAATTAAAAACCCCAGCTTTTGTCATCGCAGCGAAAGTTCTCTTTAGTTTCTCTGTAGTTTTTTGCACTTCTCCTCTTCTGATTCTCTCCGCTCTTCGGTCTCTCGATTCGTTCGTCAAATCTCTCTCCGACCAATGACTATGATGACTCCGCCTCCGGTCGATGTAAATTCCGATTCATCGTCGTGTTTGTGTGTGTGTTGTGTTCTTCGATGTTTATCTGTGACATCGCTTTATGTTCGCCTTAATCTGCTTCTGATTGGTTGCTCGCTTTCGTTTAGATAATCCATTAGGGTTCACTTTTTTTCGGGTTCTTCTGATGCTATGTCTTGTTTGAATCGACATACACTACTGCGATGGTTCTTGTGTGTGTTCGTAATTGTGGCTCCTCTTGCGGAGTTTGATCCCGATAGAGTGATATTAGGGTTTTTATTCCTTGCTCAGAGGTCTGATTTCTGCGGATTTCTGTTTGAATTTCGTAGCAAGAAGACGAGGAGATGCTCGTGCCGCATTCGGATGCGGTCGAAGGTCCTCAGCCCATGGAAGGTAAAAAGACCTTCCGTTTGAGTTTGATCTTCTGCTCCAAATCTTTGTTCCTTTGCTTTTGATTGGATCGATTTGATGCCATAGAGCTTTTGGGCATCGAATTTACCAGTGTAGGATCGATGGTTTCACTGTGCTAGAGTTTTTGTGATTTTTTGGATGTTGATCTTTTTACCAAGCATTGATGCATCTACAGTTGCACAACCTGCTGATCCTGTGAGTACTGTGGAGAACCAACCCGTCGAGGATCCACCCACTCTGAAATTCACCTGGACTATCGCTAATTTTTCAAGGCTGAACACCAGGAAGCATTACTCTGACATATTTATCGTTGGAGGTTACAAGTGGTAATTAGTCTATTAATTGTGATGTACTTTCTCGCCGCGATTGTTTACCTAATATGCATTTTGATGGGATGTTGCAATGCTCATTCCTCTGTTACTTGCAGGCGAATATTAATTTTCCCGAAAGGGAACAATGTTGACCATTTGTCCATGTACTTGGATGTTGCCGATTCTACGACTTTGCCATATGGGTGGAGCAGATATGCACAATTCAGTCTGGCTATTGTCAATCAAATCCACAGCAAATATTCCATTAGAAAGGGTATTTCTGATTGTTTAGTTCTGTCTATATAGACACGTAGCTGAACGCGTATCTTGAATTTTTAAGAGCTCAATATGGGCCTCGAAGAAAGGACACAATGGAAGACCTTCAAAGAGAATCGGGCTACAGCTTTTTGAAAACCTAGCCTTTTCTCTACTGGAATAGCCAAAATGAAAATGATTAATCAAGAATAATTGTTATACACCCTTTTCAAACTTCCTAAACTGCCAACTAATATTATCTGCTTTCTGGACCCCCTGGGATTCAGATGATTTAGATGCAAGTTGCCTTTGATGGTATAAATGAATCTTAATTGGTACTGACATTCCACTTTTGTTTGTGCTGCCATAGAGACTCAACATCAATTTAATGCAAGAGAAAGTGATTGGGGGTTTACGTCGTTCATGCCTCTCAGCGAACTCTATGATCCTAGTAGAGGATATTTAGTGAATGATACTGTATTGGTTGAAGCTGAAGTTGCTGTACGTAAGGTTCTTGATTATTGGTCATATGACTCCAAGAAGGAGACCGGTTTTGTGGGGCTTAAGAACCAGGGTGCAACCTGTTACATGAATTCTCTCCTACAGACATTGTATCATATTCCTTACTTCAGAAAGGTTGGAATGTATTTCCTGTCATCCAGATTGCTGGATAATTGTACTGCTTCTCACTGATTTCTGAATAAAGACATCTTAATTCTGAGCTATGTTTGTAGGCTGTCTACCACATGCCAACGACTGAGAATGATGCGCCTACAGCAAGTATCCCGTTGGCTCTCCAAAGTTTATTTTACAAGCTTCAATATAATGACACTAGTGTTGCTACAAAGCAGCTGACAAAGTCGTTTGGTTGGGATACATATGATTCTTTCATGCAACATGATGTTCAAGAACTCAATCGAGTTCTCTCTGAAAAGCTTGAGGACAAAATGAAGGTGATTTGTGTTTGGCTGGCATGCCTTTCCTTTTCCCCTGTTGGTGTTATTTTAGTTTGATCTTTTCCCTTTTTTTTGCCTAGGGAACAGTTGTGGAGGGAACAATACAACAGTTATTTGAAGGCCATCATATGAATTACATTGAATGCATAAATGTAGATTACAAATCCACGCGAAAAGAATCGTTTTACGGTAATTTTTCGTAAACAATTCACCACCTCTATCATCTTATTTTATGAAGCCAGGTAAAAATATGCACTTCTTCCATGACAGATCTCCAGCTTGATGTTAAAGGCTGCAAGGATGTTTATGCTTCTTTTGACAAGTATGTTGAAGTTGAACGCCTTGAAGGAGACAACAAATACCATGCAGAAGGACATGGTTTGCAGGTTGGCTGTTCTATGTTTTCCTTATTATAATATCTTCTAGGGGGCATTAAATAATTTGTGATGCTTCTGTTTTGGTATCCGTACCCTATGATATCGTTTGAAGAAGTTTCTCGTATTTTTATTTTTGTCAAAGCTAACGTGATTGTAGCCAACTGGCTGTAAATAATTACCATGTGAATGTTGTTAATTTGTCTAGTCTTATCATGGAGGATCTTATTGTTTCAGGATGCAAAGAAAGGTGTTCTATTTATAGACTTTCCCCCGGTTCTTCAACTTCAGCTGAAGAGGTTTGAATACGATTTTATGCGGGACACCATGGTGAAGGTTAGTATTTGAAGTTCCAGTACCAATAAAAAAGTGGGTATATGGTGGTGACCGTATGTTTATGTTTTTAGTCTTTGCGATGGTGATCTGGTTCACAGATTTTTCTTTTTCTTTTTCATATTTTTTATTAATGAAAAGTAGCCTTTAGGTGCTGATGCAGCTTTTTTTGTAGATTAATGATCGGTATGAATTTCCTCTTCAACTGGATCTTGATAGAGATAATAGAAAGTATTTATCCCCGGAAGCAGACAGGAGCGTCCGCAATCTTTACACGCTCCACAGGTATTATTTTCCTTGTACTTGTTCTCCAGAGTTGTTTGCATTAAAGGTTTAGCTTCTGTATACTATCTACTGTTCAAGTTTAGTTTAAGGGTCCTTGGATTGTTTAGTAGGTTCCTCATCCCATCTCAGGACTATGCCTTCTGGTGTTTAGGTCTTCACTGTACATAAATAGTCAAGTAGAATGTGCGTGCCACTGTATCAATCCTGGCAATCATCTAGCTGATATACGAGTGTGAAGAAATAGTAAATAGTTTTCATTTAGTTATTTCACATATTCCTGCCTGACCTTCTCTTTTTTTTTTGGCAGTGTCTTAGTTCATAGTGGAGGAGTGCATGGTGGTCACTATTATGCCTTTATAAGGCCAACACTCTCTGATCAGTGGTATGTATCT